TAGTATTCTTAGTGGCAGATAAATTACACATACTTTAATTATTTATTAAAATTTCCAATACATACAATTTTTTTTAGAAAAACTTGAGGTGAGACTATTTCCCTTTTTAGTCATGTAATGGGTCTATCCATGCCTTTAAGAGTATACCAAAACATCAGGAGAAGATATTAGATTCATTATCGATAAAGTGCAATAGATTTTCCACAGATAAACATAAAATCTCAATCAACCTTCTAGTATTCATAGGGGCGACCAATCAGCCTTGAAGTAATTAATTTAGCATGTAGTCTAACTTCTTGGAAGACTATGGTGTTTGGAACACATAGCAACATATAACATATCTAGACAACAAGTATCAAAAGACATATACTTTGATTCATTGGTGTATATTTATTTAATTGTTTCAACATCTATACTCCTTATAATGTGAGCATTTGTGAAAAAATTTTAATTTTTGATTTTATCCCTAATTATTATATATCCCGCATTTATACTTTCATCTAATTTTTTTTTTTTATAGCTGTTTGACTTTCAATTTGTTTTTGAACCCTTTCATAAGGATTTCTAAATTCTTTTGAATTCATTTATTAGTATTACAATTACATATAATTTTATATATCTGTATATATATGTATATATATATGCATATATATACACAGATCTGTGCACATAAATGCATATATGCACAGATCTATGTGTGTTGCATGTGTGTTTTGTGTGATTGGTGTGTGTGTGTGTTTTGTGTGCTGTGTGTGTGCGCATTGTGTTCTATGTGTGTTGTGTGTTGTATTTGTGATTGAATTGAGATTGAGATTGGAATTGAACTAGCCCATTGCTTTCAAATTTTTGAAGAATTAGATTACTGCTTATTTCCATTGTATATTTATCTTTTGAGCTATTTATTATTCGAAAAATTTCTGATTTCAGTGTTACATGAACTGTTTAACATGGATTAAATCTATACAAAAAATTAGCAATTTCTAATTTCTTATAAATTGTATGCCAAACCATTGCAGGCAAAGACATAATAATCTTGGAACAATTTTGGGAATTGCACAAGTGAAGGCTTCCTGCATATTATTTCATGATACCTTTTTTTTTGTATGTATTTTGGTGATTTAAAAAGCTTCATCAATTGATTTGGTCATAGATGTGGCCTTTGTATCTTCTCCTAAATAATCTGATGTTTCATATGTTGATGATTGGGAACTGTTTGAATCATTTGAATATCCCAAGAGAGAAACGACAAAAAGAATATGATGTGAAAATTTGCTTTTAGAATTGTTACAAATGGTAAAGCAACCAACGCAAAATCATTTGGAAATGAGTGGAGAGACTCTTTTACAATATAAACCACTCTTGAGTGACCTTAGCCATTTTATGTAGAATACCAACTCTTTGTACACATTCGCTTATGTGTGATTCATGCTTCCAAGTGAGGTGAAAAAAAAACAAACATTGGGGAATAATGAGGAATGATAATGGGTAAGACATGATCCATTGATCACCAAGATAAAGAAACTCTCTTCTCTGTTCCATTTTTCTTCATAGAAAAGGAATATTTATATTAGCAAAGCCCTTATGAAAATTTTGGATTTGTATTTTGATGTAATATAACGTCTATTTGTATTTTATTTAGGTTGTTTGATTTGGGGATTGATTGCGGTAAGGTGCAGGTTAAGGCCTTTTAGGTGAGTTGGGTTCCTCATTTAGGTGTTCTTGCACTATCAAATTGGGTATGTGTATAGAGAGGCAAATTTCATGGCTAATTTTTTTGAAAATTTGGCTGTGCAAGATTAGTGCTTTGTTGAATGCCTTTAATTCATGGTTGTAAATCATTTTTCATGAAATAAAATGTTGATTTGTTTGAAAACAAAAAATGAGGTATTATAAAACATATTTAGGACAAAACTTGAGGTAGTTACTAAACATGTTTTCTGTTTTTATTCTCATAATTTGATAGACAAAAATGACTATCAAACATGTTTTTTGTTTCAGTATTTACCATAAAACAGAGACAAAAAATTATCTCTGTTTTTAGTTTTTTGAAGACACAAAAACAAAAACGCTATTAAACGACCCATAAATCTGGCATTTGACAAGAATTGGCCGCTTGACCTCTTAGCTGATATAGTCTCAAGAGATCGAAGGGTTGCCAATCAGACTAGATTAATTTGTTCAATCATTTATTGTCTTTAAACTTCGAAAGAGAAGATTGTTGTGGTAGGTATGTGTGGTATGTGGCCAATGTATTTTACCATATTAACAATTAAACTATAGAATATGACCTATAAATTACAAAAACCACATTTGAGGCAATTTTTCATAATATTTCAATTCAAAACAAAATAACCTATATACCGATATGTTAAATATAAAATTAAAGCGATTGTCAAAAATAATTGCACATGTGTAATATCTAGTACCTTAAATGAGCCTTGAGTATAATTCATGTGCAACCCACCAATTCTTTGCAAAGTTTCAATGAGTATAATTTGTGTATGTATATAAATATAAATAGTTTCAACCATCGAAATTTTTATGTCTCTTCACTTCTTTTAATTTAAATATATCGAATTTCTTCCCATCCAAAATTTAACATGGTGATTCCGTAATAAACAGGATCAAATCTTATAACATGCCTGCCATTAATTTGAAAACAAAGACAAGCCATTATTTTTAATAATTCAACATGACTGAAAACTTTGTCTATTCATATAACCATATAAATATAAGTGTTTCCCTTGTATCAAAATACACACAAATCCACAATGTAAATTATAATCGATGAAAGCGAAAGTCTTTTTGAGAATTATATTCGTGAATAAAAGCTTAATTAGGCTGAACCATGTAAATAGTTGTATCCTTTCCCCTCTCTCGTCTTAGATATCCCATCTCTCCCATCCAAAATTTTTAATAAAATCGAATTTTTAATGTGGGCTGTATTACAGAGCACAAATGGCTGTGGCAGTTAGCGACAAGTTCTTTTTGGCTTTACATCAGTCAATTTCTATACCATCACGGATTAGGGGGAGTAATATCACAGGTGGACAGTACACAAGGTGAGCTTTTTGATTGAAAACATCCCTAGTTAACTTAGTCTTACCCTAGTCTTATGCATAAAGTTTTTTGTTGATAGGGTCTTACGTGGCTCCCTATATTTCACCCCTTCTTTCTTGTCACAATTAATTTCAATAAATTAAAAAAATATCTTTAATTGAATTAAAGAAAAAGCTAAAACAAAAAAAAATAGTACTTAATTTAAAAAAAAAAAATATTGTGGACAAATTGCACCAAAGTGTTTTTTTTTAATTATTATTTTGATTTTTTATATTATTATTTTTAAAATTTGTCCCGACTACCATAATTTTCTTGCTTTGCCATTGGTACAAGAATGGACCTACTGATTGGACAGTCCTGCGTTATGATCTGGTGGGAATTTATAGATGCACATTTATTAGGATTACCAGCCCAGCTTAAGACACATTAATTCCTTCTCATGTGAACTCTCTGGAGATTGACTTCAGAATAACCATGACCCAATTAAGTCATTTCAACTCCACCTTTCCTTTCGGTTTCCTTTTCATAATTTTTTCGTAACGAAAAATTGTCCTGATCAACTAATCCCTACAATTTTCTTTCCCTAATTATTAGAAAGAAATTCTTAGTTTCCAGAACAGCTCATCCTCTCTCCATAGCTGTAATAATTAGTCTATTAAAAGAGTTTATGTTCCACGTCGAAAGGAACTTAAGACCCACACCATCAAAGACTTGGATACGATTCGATTAAACAATTGAGGTCTTGTCCTATCAAACAAGCACGCTCTTGTGTCCAAAGAACTTCAAACCTCTAACTTTTCACTGAGAAGCCAGAAATTTTAGCCAATTGAAGTATCCCAATTAGTTATCTATTCATTGTTAATTAGTTTATAAATGGATGCTCTAATATAGTATTAAAACTGAGTTAGTTGTCTACTCATTGTTAATTAGTTTATAAATGGATGCTCTAATATAATATCAAAACTGAACCACCGAGTTCAAATCTCACGCCCGTCTGAATTTCTTGATCTTACCGGATACAAAATAACAGCACACGGTTATGTACACCACAGGATCCTAGAGTAAAATAACAGCACTTCAAATGGTAGCTGTTCTTGTCTGGTATACCTGCTGTTGCTAGCTATCAATAATAGACCACTTAATTGTACGGTTGTGAGATACGATTTGGTGGGCATTTATATGTGTACATTTACTACAATTACCAGCCTCTCATAAGATCCAATAGTCCCTTCACATGTGAACTCTCTAAATATACACTCGAATTATCATGAGTCCAAAAAGTTAAAAAAAAAAAAATTAGTTAGATTTAATTTATAAATTTAATTAATTATAGTTGTTAAATTAAAGATGAACCCATTTAATATTAAAAATTATATTGACTTAAATCCCTGATTAAAATTTCAAATTAAGTCCCTGAAATATTACTCAAACAATTATGTCAACTCCACAGTCCTCTTCTGTTCCTTTTACAATCTTATTTTTGCAAGGGGAATTATGTCAACTCCACAATATTTCTGTTAAATTTATGACCATAATATATATCTCGCATATATGGAATCACTTACCATATGTGCTCATTTTTAGTTAAGTTCAAATGTTATGTAGTCAAGAAGTCTCGGTTTTAGCAGATGTAGCTTTATGTTTTTATCCTTTTTTCAACCATAGAATCAATCTGTCTTGAGTACAAGTAAAACACATATTAATCACCGTCAACAATGATATTCGGGTTTTATATAGTTTCGAAGACTCGGACTCAAAAGGTGTGAATATATGTCTCTTACTTTTTCCGACCACTTGAATCAGCATGTGAATTTGGTTTCATAATTATCTCTAAGAAATTGCTACAACCAAAGCATAAAAGGGTTAGAGCATGTCTTCATACCATCCTCTCTCTCTCTCTCTCTCTCTCTCTCTCTCTCACAAACACAACACACACTGCAATGGAACTACAATATGTTTCTCTGGGACTACATTCGTGCATTTTAGTGTTGATGTTATCTGGCTTTGCAAACTCAGACATAGCCAAGGACAGAGAAGAATGTGCAAACCAATTAGTGGCGCTGGCCACTTGTCTTCCTTACGTTGGTGGTGATTCCAAAGCCCCAACCCCAGATTGCTGCACTGGCCTCCAACAAGTCTTGCAGAAGAGCAAGAAATGTCTCTGCATCTTGGTCAAGGACCGAAATGATCCTAGCCTTGGCCTTAAGATCAATGCTACTCGTGCTTTAAGTCTTCCTGATCAGTGTCATGCTCCAGCTAACATATCCGGCTGCCCTGGTAAGCACGTGCACACTCACATCCATGTATATTTATATTTATAAGGTCTTAAAAGAATTGTGTTTGTGTAGTTTTATTTCATATGCAAAGGTAATTTTTGGGATTTGAATCCTCCGCGATGCCCAGCTGACGATGAAATAACGTTGTCGTTATGC